ATGCAGCTTAGATCATGATAGACTTTGTAATAACTAGACCACCAGAAATCGTTTAAGGTACAACAAATTCATAATATGAAATTCGATATATAGACTAATACACATGAGTTTAAAATAAAACACATGATTCAAAACACACTAATTGATCACTTTACAAACAACTAATGATAGAATCCAGACGTTAAATTTTATTTTATTTGACTGACTTATTTGTTTAGTCCTAAACAAACGACCTGTTCGATAAATCCATCTAAATCCTTAACTGAACTCCCATGTTCTTGGATCGCATCCAACGCTGCTTTTCTCAGCTTCACGGCTCGGTTCCTCTCCGTTTGTTTTCCGGTGACCGAATCAGCAAAAACTCTAGCTAACTCGTCCGGATCAGGAACCGTATCCGGCCCTTCGCATGCACGCACGCCAACTTTCAACTCATCAACCACCAGAGCCGCATCTGTGTACTGATCAGCTCTCATCGGCCACGTCAGCATCAAAACGCCGGCTACAACCGCTTCAATCACCGAATTCCAACCGCAGTGCGTTAAAAACGCTCCAACTGCTCTGTGCCTCAACACATCAACTTGTGGAGCCCATCCTCTAATCACCAAACCCTTCCCAGCCACACGATCCTCAAACCCGTCAAAGATATCGCCACGCGGCGAATCTCCCTCAACGGGCTCTTTAACGGCCCACACGAAGTGGACGCCGCTTTTCTCAAGACCAGAGGCAAGAGCAAGAGTTTGGTCTTTAGTCAACACAGCTTGACTTCCGAAACACACGTAAACCACGTGGCTATCCTCACGTGCGTCTAGCCACGACATCACGTGATCAACCGAAACCGAAGTCGGACCACCACGGTTATAACCATTCGATACCGGAAGAATTGGGCCTACGGCCCAAACACGTTCATGGCCCATCTCTTTCTTAAGATGCTCGAGATAAACCATTTCCATGGCAGAGAACGAGTTAACGACGAGTCCCCAACTCGTTACGTTATCCCTGAACGAGTCTCTAATGAATTCCCAAGCTTTGTCTCCATGAACGTAGCTTCTGTAAATACTCGAGATTTGATACCAAGGGTATTTCGGACAATTCGGAATATTCGGAAACTCGAGGATCACGTTGTCGTGTTTCTTTTCAGGCATCTGGGTCCAGTTAGTGTTGACGATGCAGCAAGCGATTGCAGCGGAAGGTGAGAATTCGACACGTGGGATTCCGAGGTTTTGAGTCCAGCCAAGGAAGAAATCGGAGACGATGACAACAGGAGGAGAAGGGTGAGAAGTGATCCATGAGTGAAGCGGCGCGTGGAGATCACCAAGCGCGTGGATCATTGAAGGGAAAGCTGAAGGAGGTAAGTCTTGGACGTTTTCGACACCGGAAGGTATCGAAGGGTGAGAAGGAAAAGGGAGGATAAGTGTTTCGATGTTAACTCCGGTGGTGGCGGCT